TTTTTTTTTTTTTTTTGAGACAGTCTCACTATGTCACCCTGGGTAGAGTGCCGTAGCGTCACAGCTCACAGCAACCTCAAACTCTTGGGCTTATCCAATTCTCTTGCCTCACCCTCCCAAGTAGCTGGGACTACGGGCGCCTGCCACAATACTGGGCTATTTTTTGGTTGTAGTTGTCATTGTTGTTTAGCAGGCCTGGGCCGGATTCGAACCTGCCAGCTTTGGTGTACATGGCTGGTGCCCTAGCTGCTGAGCTACAGGCACCAAGCCAGTATCTTTAATTATTCTTAGCAATTTGAAACAAGTTTTGCCCTAAGACATAACAAAGATAACATCAATATATCACTGCTGGACTTACTCTATTAATAGATTACAAGGAGATATTTAGGAAAAAAAAGCCTTATTATGGAAATTTTCTAAGGACTCAACAATATGTACCAGGATTCTAACTAAAGGCTTAAAGCATAATTAGAAGAAAAAACAAAAAACTACAGGAAATGAAAGGGCCATAAATTAAGAGAAGGGAGAGAGCATGGTGTCATTAAAAGACTTTCTGCCTAAGATGAGCCTAAGGATAGAAAACTTCATAATGTAAATTAATTAATCTCACAATATTGCACAACTTATCAGAAAAAAATAGTTGGCATTTCAGAATATTTATTTATAATTAATGTTCAAAATAAAGTTTTTGGGTTTTGAGTACAGGTGACAAATATTTACCTTACATAATTAAGTAATACAAGCCATATCTACTGATAAATACCTGCTCTATCTGTATTCCATAGCCTTTAAAACCTGCATTGTCCCATGAAGTGTTCCGATAGATGTCATCAACTCTATCAATTAGCTCTATCTGTGTGTGTAAAAAAAAAAGACATGAAATAGCTCTTGACCACTCTTTGCAATATAACATAACATCTGCAGGAATAAAATTTAGCTTAGAGAAAATGCCATTGTGAAAAGTTCTACTATTACAAAAAGTAGGTATTAAAATATTACTCTTTATCATCGACATCTCTAACAAAGTATTCCTATCAGTTAGCCTCAAACTTAGCATTGTTACCTTATTCATCAAACAAGTTTTTTATAGTAATGTTTTAAATCTATATTTTTTTAAACAAACGTTATTTGGGTTTAGTATCCTTAAAATATATACATTTTACCCCAAATTTCAGGTAATCTACAGCATATGGAACCAAAATAACAAGTAAAACCCTTTTTAAAAATGTCATTCCAGTCAACTATAAAAAATAAAATTTAAAAATCAATCAATTTACCTAAAGCACAGGTGACACTTGAACACTGGTTTGAACGGCATGAGTCCACTTACATGTATTTTCTTCTACTTCTGCCACCCTAAGACAGCAAGACCAACCCTTCCTCTTCCACCTGAGCCTACTCAGCATAAAGACAATAATGATCCACTTTCACTAATGAATAGTAAAGACTATTTTCTTTTCCTTATGACTTTTTCTTTTTTTTGAAATAGGGTTTTGAATACAAGTGACTTGCTTTTGCTCAGGCTGGTCTTGAACTCCTAAACTCAACTGATCCTCCTACCTCAGCCTTCCAGACTGCTGAGATTACAGGCATAAGCCAACTGCCCAGCCTTCTCCTTATGACCTTTTTTTTAGTTGTTGAGACAGAGTCTCACTTTCTTGCCCTTGTAGAGTGCCATAGCGTCATAGTTCACAGCAACCTTAAACTTATCAGCTCAAACGATTCTCTTGCCTTAGCCTCCCAAGTAGCTAAGACTACAGGTACCCACCACAACACCTAGCTAGATTTCTTAGAGATGGGGTCTCACTCTTCCTCGGGGAATCCACCCACTGTGGCCTCCCAGGTGCTAGGATTATAGGCATGAGCAACAACACCCAGCCTAACTTTCTTAACAGCATTTACTTTTCTCTAACTTACCTTATTCTGAGAATATGGTATATAAAACATGTAACACAAAAAATAAGTGTTAATCAATTGTTTTCTTATTGGTAAGACTTCTGGTCAACAGTAGAATGTTAATAAGTAAGTTCTGGAGGGGAATCAAAAGTTACCTGTGAATTTTTAACTGCACAGAGGTGTCAATGTCCTCAAGCCTAGGGTTGTTCAAGGGTCAACTATATTCCCTTCTAATAAGTATTCCACCTTCACTCTATCTCTCAAACACTTTCCTCCTAAAAGGCAGTGACAGATAACTGCTAACTCTATTCCTTCACTCTCACCGAATAAGTTCAGCACTGACAAATGGGTAAAAAGAAGCCCAGAAGGACTGAAGCTCGTTTAACAATCCTCATTCTATTCTTTGATTCACAAAGACTGGGGCAGGAAGGACAGCATAATTGCCAAGGACTACAAAGAAAGAACAAAATGCTAATTACCTATCTTTTCCTCAAAGAGAATATTCTGCTTTTCAAAAACTGGGTTGATGAGATTTGTCTCAGCAACTGTGAAGCAAGTTACAGGTCTAAGAAAGTACTCTTTGCTTATAAGTAACAGTAAGAAAACCAATTTTTAAGACTAGACCTCTCATCATATTAGTAGTTATAATGCAATGAAAAAAGAAGTAAACTATGAGGCGCCCCTAAAAAAAAAAAAAAAAAGATAATAAGAGAGAAGCTTTATCCAAGAAAGAATCCTTCTTACAGAGAAACAAGACTTAACAATGACTCCTACTATCTTCATAATAAATTCACTTGACATAGAGGGAATGGAAAGAAGGGTGAGGGAGGGTATGAATAAAATGGAGAGAATGGGAAAGGCCAGGCAATGAGAAAGACATCTTTACAGCACAGGGCTCTTAGTTTATGAATAGATGCATTCTCTTTTGTTCCCTCAACATTTTGATCAGTGCCAAGTTACCACGACAGATGAGATCATACTAGCAAAAAATGTCAATGAAAAATGATTCCCCTTGGCAGCACCCGTAGCTCAGTCTGTAGGGCGCCACCCACATACAACGAGGCTGGTGGGTTTGAACCCGGCCCGAGGCAGCTAAAACAACAATGACAACTCCAACAAAAAAACAGCTAGGTGTTGTGGCAAGCACCTGGAGTCCCAGCTACTTGGGAGGCTGAGGCAAAAGAACTGCTTAAGTTCAAAAGTTTGAGGTTACTGTGAACTGTGACGCTACAGCACTCTACCCAGGATGACAGCCTGAAACTCTTGTCTCACAAAAAAGAAAAGAAAAATGATTCCCTTAACTTCAAAACTAACAGTTAATGCTTAAAAATCCAGGATCAACACTTCCTTTTTCTTTTTTTTTCTCTTTTGAGACAGTTTCTTTTTTTTTGAGACAAAGCCTCAAGCTGTCACCCTAGGTAAGAGTGCCGTAGCATCACAGCTCACAGCAACCTCCAACTCCTGGGCTCAACTGATTCTTATCACCCTCAGTAGAGTGCTGCAGCATCACAGCTCACAGCAACCTCAAACTCTTGGGCTTAAGCAATTCTCTTGCCTTAGCCTCCCAACTAGCTGGGATTACAGGCACCTGCCAGAATGCCCGGCTATTTTTTTGTTGTAGTTGTCATTGTTGTTTAGCAGGCCCAGCTGAGTTTGAACCCACCAGCTCTGATGTATGTGGCTGGTGCCCTAGCCACTGAGCTACTGGCACTGAGCCAATATCAACAATTCTTAAATAATTCCTTTGTATCTCTGCCCTAGATTTAATTATGACTGTGAAAGTCCCACATATTTCACACAGTTAAAGTCTAATGATTAACTCTTTATTACATGAACAAAACTGACCTTCTTCTCTGAAATACACATATATGCAAAACAGTATCCACAGGTTTATGTAAATACTGGTTTGTTTTTTTTTACTCTAGAGCATATATCCACACATGTGACATTACAGGTTCAGTTCATTACAGCAGTGATGATTTTAAAGAGCTCATCTCTATAAAAAAGGACTGTATTATAACCTTTCCCCAAATAGAGTATGCACAAAAATTCTAATGCACAGAAAATATTTGTTCAAAGGTAAAATGGATTTTCATACATTTAAAACTATAATTTCCATATAGTAATATAAAAACCTCAGAGAAAATATTTTAGGGCAACAACAGAGCATCTGGAACAAATTTGGTTTCATTAAGTTTCAAAGTATCACAGCCTCCTCTTAAATAGAATTTACCCACCCACATGAATTTTTTGCCCACTTTATGGAACATCAAATACTTACTAAGTAATTTGTAGTTGTACTCTCTTCCCCTCTGCCCATGTATTTATAAAAGCGATGATCTGCCACCACCAACAATTTACATGTGTTCTTCATGGGATTGGGATCAGCTCTTCTCTTCACCCGATGAACAAGCTCTAATATGAATTTGTATGCACTATTAAATCAAAATTCATCAAAACAAGGAGTTTTTTATAGTAATGCTTTATTTATATCTAGTATATATTTGAAATAAACATTATTTGAGCTTAATATCCTTAACAACAACAACAAAAAATTTAGAAAAATAGGAAAATGAAAGACAGGAAAATAAAAAGTAATAAATATGTGGTTTTAAAATTCTAGAATGCATGCCAGGCCCAGTGGCTCATGCCTATAATCCTAGCACTCTGGGAGGCCAAGGCAGATGGATTGTTTGAGCTCAAAGTCTGAGACCAGGCATTGTGGCGGGCGCCCATAGTTGCAGCTAGTAGGGAGGCTGAGGCCAGAGAATCACTAGAGCCAAAGAGTTTGAGGTTGCTATGAGCTATGGCACCACAGCACTCTACTAAGAGGACAAAGTGAGAACTGCTCTTAAAAAAAAAAAATTATAGAATTCACTGACTGTGGTCAGGCAGTAGGGCAAGTGCAGTTGTATTAAAAATATATATATACATATATACAGGCTCGGTGCCTGTGGCTCAAGTGGCTAAGGCGCCAGCCACATACACCTGCTCTGGAGGTTCGAATCCAGCTAACAATTGATGGCTACAACGAAAAATAGCCTGGCGTTGTAGCAGGCACCTATAGTCCCAGCTACTTGGGAGGTGGAGGCAGGAGAATCACTTGAGCCCAAAAGTTAGAAGTTGCTGTGCGCTGTGATGCCATGGCACTCTACCCAGGGCAACAGCTTGAGGCTCTGTCTCAAAAAAAAAAAAAAAAAAATACACACACACACACACACACACATATATTTTATAAATAAAAATAAAAAATAAACTTATAGAATTCAGCTGGGCATGGTGGCTCATGCCCATAATCCTAGCACTCTTGGGAAGCTGAGGCAGAAGTGCTTAAAGCCAGGAGTGTGAGACCAACCTGAGCAAAAGTGATGCTCCCCACCCCCCGCCATATCTACAAAAAATAGAAAAATTAATAATTGGGTGTGATAGTACACACCTATAGTCCCAGCTACTCAGAAGGATAAGGCAGAAGAATTGCTTAAGCACAGGACTGAGCTATTATAACACCCCACTACACTCTAGGTCAAGTGCCAGAGTGAGACTCTGTCTCAAAAAATAAAATTAAGGGGATTGGTGCCCGTAGCTCAGTGGTTTGGGCACTGGCCACATACACTGGGGCTGGCAAGTTCGAAAATGGCCCAGGCCTACTAAACAATAATGACAACAACAAGAAAAAAATAGCCGGGCATTGTGGAGGGCGCCTGAAGTCCCAGCTACTTGGGAGGCTAAGACAAGAGAATCACTTAAGCCCAAGAGTTTGAAGTTGCTGTGACCTGTGACGCCACAGCACTCCACTCAGGGTGCCAAAGTGAGACTCTATCTCAGAAAACAAAATAGTAATAATAATGACAATAATAATTAAGGCCAAGCACAGTGGCCCACACCTTTTATTCCTAGCACTCTGGAAGGCTGAGGCAGGTGGACTGCCTGAGCTTACAAGTTTGAGAGTTTGAGACCAGCACTGAGCAGAGTAACACCCCATCTCTAAAAATAGCCAGATGTTGTGGCGGGCACCTGTAGGCCCAGCTAGTTGGGAGGCTGAGGCAAGAGAATCACTTGAATCGAAGAACTGGAGGTTGCTGTGAGCTATTACACCATATCACTCTACCAATGGTGACAAAGTGAGACTCTGTCTCAAAAAAAAAAAATTAAGTGACTCCTTACTTTTTAAAATACGAATACTTAAAGTGCTTAACAGAGTAAAACATTCACCTATTGATGGGCTATGAAGCCATCAGTCATTTTCTTTTAGAAGAAGTTTACGAACTAACCAAAGAAACAGTAGGACATCTTTCAGCCAAGCTCAGGGGCTCATGCCCATAATCCTAGCACTCTGGGAGGCCAAGGTGAGAGGCTCACTTAAAGTCAGGAGTAAGAGATCAGTCTGAGCAAAGCAAGACTCTATCTCTACAAAAAACAAAAAAACTAGCTAGGAGTGGTGGTACGTTCCTATAATTTCAGCTACTTGGATGGCTGAGGCAAGAAGATTGTTTGAGCCCAGGAGTTTGAGGTTGAGGTTGTTGAAAGCTAGGCTAAGGACACAGCACTCTAGTCCAGGTGCCAAAAAGAAACTCTGTCTCAAAAAGGGGGGGGGGGGCATCATTCTAATCAAATTAAGATTCTTTTATATTAAAATGCTAGCAATATTTTCTAAGTACTTCAAAAATAAGGACAATAGAACACCTCTTCAAAATGCTTGTTTTGTAAATGACCCTAAATATCGTAAGCTCCATCCAGTTCTGTTCAATAAATAAATGACCTAAATAGATCTGCCCCCAAATTGACAAGTTTCTTGCATTCCAAACAGTATATAGATCTTTCTTGCTACCAACTTATTTCTTATAAACACTAAAGATTATCTTTCAACAGTATTTTTATCTTCCTTTAGATCATTCAACTTCCCTTTTCCCCAATCGTCTTTAAAGTCCAATCTTTACTGTGCTCATTAACTGCTAGTGTTTTCAACTCTTACACAAGAGACAAAAGAAGTAGAATTTCTGGAACAAAACTCTATTTTCAAGCCAAAAAATAAGTTACTTGATAATCATGTTATTTTTAAATCAATTAACAGCCACCCCACTGGAGAAAATTGGAATACGCTTGCTTCTTATTTGAAATATGTTTTAAGTCTTACCTTTAGAGGGCTCTCTGTCTACTAGGCCTTTTGGAATCAACTCTTCATTATCCACTTTTAAATAACCACACACTTTTGGAGACTCCAAACGTGAAACATTCTTGATATCTTCAGATTTATAAACTAACATCCTTTTGTCTTTGGTATCATTAATAAATCTCCAAAGTGGCTAAGACAGAAAATACATATAACTGAGATCAAAAATTAAGAATTGCTAAACTCTAAATTCTTCCAACATTCTTTGTTGCTTCTTACATAACATTCATTTCTAAGTTAAGTAACTGAATAGCAATGTATATAAAATAAATCATTTCTATTTTTATCATATAGAGTTTCTATGTTGGTAAATAAAAACATAAGAGTGAATGTATTCAGTTGTATATGAAAAATGCACAGATTATGAAATCTTCTAGAGGCTCCAAAAGAGAAAATGCATATCCTTTTCCATTCATTCATATAAAAATATCATCTGATGCTTACTGAACACTAGCAATGTTATAAGTGAGGTGATATAGCTATGAAAGTCAGAAAAGGTTTCTGTTCATGTGGCATTTTCATTATGGTTTCCTTAAAATTCAAGTGTCTGACAACTTTTTACTATGCTAAGTTTTATGCACAGGAGGAATAAACATATACAGTAGAACCTCCACAGTTGACCACCTCCCTGCACTGACCACTTCCTTAAGCTGACCTAATTTTTATAGACTGGACATGTACCACATGTACACTAACAATACAACAGGCCTAGTTCCTTATGTTGACCACCTCCATATGTTGACCCGTTTGTTACAGTCCCTTAAGTAGTTAACTTACAGAAGTTCTACTATACTTTCATGAAAGAACATCCAAAACTTGCAACAATATGCCTGAAAATTATTGGTTTCAGAGAAATTTTTTTTAATCTGCATTCATAATATTGCAAGGACAGGGTAAATCGTAACTAAAGTACTCCAATGGTTAACCAAGTCAAAAAGATGTTTCTGTTTTTACAAAACAAAGGTCTTCTCTTTAAAGACACTGGTCTCATCAGAACCAGGCAGTTCATAAGGAACATACAAAAAAGTTATTTATATTATCTGTCAGGGAAATGCAAATCAAAACCACAATGAGACACCACTTCATACTCTCCATGATGGCTATAATCAAAGATCCTCTCATAACTCTGAGGATGTGGAAGAATCCAGAACCCGCATATATGCTGACGAGAATGTAAAATGGTGCAGTCACTTTAGAAAACAGTCTGGCAGGTCTTTAAAAGTTAAAAATAGAGAACCATTTAACCCAGCAATTTTGCTCCTCCTATATACCCAAAGAAATGAAAACACGTGCCTGTATGAAAACCTACGCACAATATTCACAGCAGCACTGTTAGTCGTAATAGAAATGAGAAGCAATACAAATGTCCATCAACTGAGGAATGAATAAACAAATGTGGTCTATCCAAACAATGGAACACTATTTAGCAATGAAAGATAAAAGAAATACTAATACATGGGACAGCGCCTGTGGCTCAAAGGAGTAGGGCGCCAGCCCCATATGCTCAAGGTGGCAGGTTCAAACCCAGCCCTGGCCAAAAACTGCAAAAAAAAAAAAAAAAAAAAAAAGAAAAATACTAATACATGCTACGACATAGATGAACCTTGAAAATACAGGGTGTGTCAAAAAATGTATACACATTTTAAGAAAGGAAAAATTGGCTCGGTGCCTGTGGCTCAAGTGGCTAAGGCACCAGCCACATACACCTAAGTTGGGGGTTGCTGTGAGCTGTGATGCCACGACACTCTACCCAGGGGGACAGCTTGAGGCTCTGTCTCAAAAAAAAGAAAGGAAGGAAAAATTGTACCTAAAATTATTCTTTATTTGTATTTTTATTTTAAGACAGTCTCACTTTGTCACCCTTTATAGAATGCCATGGCGTCATAGCTCACAGCAACCTCAAACTCCTGGGCTTAAATGATTCTCTTGCCTCAGCCTCCCAAGTAGCTGGGACTACAGGCACCCACCACAACACCTGGCTATTTTTAAAACCTGTGAGCTCAAGCAATCCACCCACCTCAGCCTCCCAAGTGCTGGAATTACAGTCGTGAGCCAGGGTGCACAGCCTTGTACCTAAAATTAAATTGTAATATATACCATTAATGTTTATTATCTTGTATTTTTTTTTTCTTTTTGAGACAGAGTCTCATTATGTCACCCTCGGTAGAGTGCTGTGGCATCATAGCTGACAGCAACCTCAAACTCTTGGGTTTATGCGATTTTCTTGCCTCAGCCTCCCAAGTAGCTAGGACTACAGGCGCCCACCACAATGCCTGGCTTTTTTTTTTTTTTTTTTGGTTGCAGCTGTCATTGATGTTTAGCAGGCCCAGGATGGGCTCGAACCTGCCAGCTGTGGTGTATGTGGCCAGCGTCCCACTCACTGAGCTATGGGTGCCAAGCCACCCAGCTATTTTTAGAGACAAGGTTTCACTCTTGCTCAAGCGTTTCTCTTGCCTCAGCCTCCCAAGTAGCTGGGACTACAGGTGCCTGCCACAATGCCCAGCTACTCTGGCTCAGGCTGGTCTCAGTCCTGTGAGCTCAGGCAATCCACCCACCTAGGTCTCCCAGAGTGCTAGGATTACAGGCGTGAGCCACTGCACCTGGCCTATCTTGCATTTCTTATAACTGCAGAAGCCAAACATGATTTGATTATTACAGTTTTAATATAGTTTTTTTCCTTTCTTAAAATGCCTATAAATTTTTTTGTCACCCTATTAATCTAAGTAAAATAAGTGACACACAAAAGACCACATATTACACCACTCAATTTATATGAAATGGCCAAAATAGGCAAACCTAAAGGGACAGATTGGTGTCTGTCCTACTGCTAGGGCTGTGGGAGTGAGGGAGAAAGGGGGAAAGGAGAGCTAACGGGCACAGAGTTTCTTTTGGGGATCATAAAAATGTTCTAAAATTGTGGTGGCCTTTCCATAACTCTACACATACACATATACTAAAAACTACAAAGCTGTATACATTACTTGGGTGAAGAATATAGCATATGGATAATATCTTTATAAGGCAGTTAAATACATACACACAACCCCTTCTTTTGTAATTCATGTATGAGGTAGATTTAAGAAATAATGGTAGTTGGGCATTGGTGGCAGGTGCCTGTAGTCTCGGCTACCTGGGTGGCTTAGGCAAGAGGACTGCTTAAGCCCAAGAGTTTCAGGTTGCTGTGAGCCAGGACACCACAGCACTCTACTGAGGGGGACAAAGTGAGACTTTGTCTCAAAAAAAGAAAGAATCGTTATAGAATCTCAGGACTGGCAGAGACCTCAAAAATTAACTAATTCGGGCTTAGCACCTATAGCTCAAGTGGCTAAGGCACCAGCCATATACACCAGAGCTGGTGATTTCAAATCCAGCCCACGCCTGCCAAACAACAACTACAACAAAAACAACAACAAAAAATGGCCAGGTGTTGTGGTGGGTGCCTATAGTCCCAGCTACTTAGGAGGCTAAAGCAAGAGAATCACTTAAGGCCAGGAGTTGGAGGTTTCTGTGAGCTGGGACACCACAGCTCTCTACCAAGGGTGACAGCATGAGGCTTTGTCTCAAAAACAAAACAAAAATTAACTAATCGAACTCCTGGGCCTATAAGAATCTTTCCCATTTAGTAAAGCTTATTTGGCCTATGAATAGGAGAGAAAAAAATTTTCTTTTGGATCAAACATTTCTAAACTCACACTGATTGTTTCCTAGTATAGCCAGTCTAGTATAGAAAAGGACAGCAGGCTCTGGGATCAGAGAGACCTACCTAAGTTCAAACCTCAACCATACCTCACTATTAACCTTAGGACAAAGTTAATAACCTGAGCATAATTTCTCTCATTAGGTAAAGGAGTGATAACACTTAACTTGAAGATTACATAAGATTATAAATCTAGTTATATGTTAAGATTTCAAAAACAGGTAGATGTTAATAATAAAAGCTAATCCTATTACCAGCATTACTAATATTGTAAGTTGCTAGGAAAAAAAAATCATCTGATAAATAACCTAAATAAAAAGGCAGGAACCTTGACTGCCTCCTGAATTGGGGAGGGGAACCTGTAAAGGAGGAGAGGAAGCAAACATGACATTACAGCACCACGTGATTAACGGTTACAGATTATTTTTTTTAACCTTTCTGTAGATTTGAACATTTAGTTGGGGAGAAAAAAAATTATTTTCATGATTCAAATTTAATCTAGCCTTATCTACATAAACAGTAAGCTATGGTAAAATCAGTGATGGCTTAAGATATTTAATGATGATGTCTTAACAATAAAATATAAACATTTTTTCTGCCCAGTTATGCATACGATTTTAATTCAGATGAATAAGGATTTTTACATCAAAGTAAGCATAAATAAGGACTATAAAATAAATAATATGAAAATCACCATTCTAAGTAATAAACTATTTTTTCAATTAAAAATTATTATTACTACTCAGGAGGCTAAAGTGGGAAGATCATTTGAGGCCAGGAATTTAAGACCAGCCTGGAAAACATAATGAAACCCCATCCCTAAAAAAATATTGTTTTAGGCTCGGCGCCTGTGGCTTAGGTGGCTAGGACGCCAGCCACATACACCTAAGGTGGCGAGTTCGAATCTAGACCGGGCCCGCCAAACAACAATGACGGCTGCAACCAAAAAATGGCCGGACGTTGGGGTGGACGCCTGTGGTCCCAGCTACATGGGAGGCTGAGACAGGAGACTTGCTTGAGCCCAGGAGTTGGAGGTTGCTGTGAGCTGTGATGCCACAGCACTCTACCCAGGGGGACAGCTTGAGGTTCTGTCTCAAAAAAAAAAATTGTTTTAATTAGACAGGTGTGGTGGGCACTTGTCTAGTCAGGGTGAGAAGATTGCCTGAGCCCAGCCTGAGCAACAGAGAAAGACCCCATCTAATAAAAAAGTATTATTACTATTAGTCTCTTACAAAAGTCCCTGAAGGTTTGATGAGTTTACTTTTAAGTAACCACCTAACAGTGACATATTAATTATACTCATTTTTGTACTTAGTAGAACAAAGTATAGATGGAAACAGAATTCCTAATTCTCCAAATAGAAATATCTGAAAAAATGAGGAGGCTCAGTGAACTTGAATCCTAAATGTAGATATTCTGAATTAACAATTAATAGAATAGTCTGTTGTAAGGAAATAAGCAGATACGTGCAACTGTGGCAAAAATAATGCTATGTGTATTACCACACTGTTTTCTCTTTCGGGGCTCATAAGACCACTCTTTCCTAGCCTCCTCTGTGGTAGGTCAGAGACAAAGCATTCTAGAACAGGAAGGCTACTTCCACGCCTGGCCATTAATGACATCCTGCGTGATTCTCTAGTTCTGTTTCCCTTCTGTGGCAGCTGCAGAGAACATGTGTCCAACAGTCAAAGCCACGAGGTGAAGGAGGACTACCTAGTCCACACCCAGCCTGAAGGAGTGAGAAATAAACCTGTGTTTTGTTACGCTACTGAGATGTGGGAGTTCATATGACGCCCTGGCACACCCTAGAGCTTCCTACAGTTTCCTACTTTAACTTCTCTCACTATTACCTATCACCCACACTTTCCTACTAAATACATGCCCCATAAAGGTATGTCCAAGCCTGTTCATTACGGCATATTTTATTTCAAAAATTGAAAGCAAACAATTGAGCATCAACAGAAGATTAATTAAATAAGTGGTACAATATTTCAATGGGCCAACAGGCAGGTTTCATTAAAAACCCAACTTTATGGCTTGGCGCCTGTAGCTCAAGCAGCTAAGCCACCAGCCACATATGCCAAAGCTGGTGGGTTCAAATCCAGCCCAGGCCTGCCAAATAACAATGACAACTACAACCAAAAAATAGCCAGGCGTTATGGTGGGCGCCTTTAGTCCCAGCTACTTGGGAGGCTAAGGAAAGAGAATTGCTTAAGCCCAGGAGTTGGAGTTTGCTGTGAGCTATGAGGCCACAGCACTCTACCCAGGGCAATAGCTTGAGGCTCTGTCTCAAAAACAAACAAAAACCAACTTTAGATCTATATTAACATGAAAAGAAGTTCATAATTATACTGTTAAATAAAAAATAAGACAAACCATTTATATTATATGGTTCTAATTTTGTAGGAAAAAGCAGTCTCCATAACTGTATAACAGTCTTACACCTATTTATGTGTGTCTATATATATATGAAAAATATATAAACTTGGAAGGAAGTTTGTCAAAATGTCCATAATAGTTATCTCTCCAAGAACAACTATTTTCTAAATTTTGCAAGGAGCAAGTATTTTTAAAATAAAGTTATTTTTAAGAAATAAATTGATTTTGAAAAAACAAACCAGTTTAAGACACGCAAGTGATTTATTTGCCTATTCTTTTTTTTTTTTTTGAGGCAGAGTCTCAAGTTGTCACCTGGGGTAGAGTCCCATGGCATTATCACTCACAGCAACCTCCAACTCTTGGGCTCAAGGGATCCTCTTGCCTCAGTTTTTCTATTTTTTTTTTTTTAAGCTGTCCTGGGCCGCCACCCTCGGTGTATGTAGCCAGCACCCTGCCAAGTGAGCTATGGGCACCGCCTGCCTGTTCTAGAATGAATACATTTATAATATTAGCCTTTACTTTGTACTAAATTTCTAGCTCTGATAGGCTAGATTCCCTGAACATTGCCATTAAATAGTTTAAACATTAACAAACCATAACACACTGCAAGGCCACAGATTTCCTTTTCTTTTCTTTCTTTTTTTTTTTTTTTTTTT